AACTTTAGAAGCGTCATTTACTGTTAAATTCAAGGTATGAGCCACACAAGGAATGCGTTATTGAAGCCCAACATGCGTCCCTTCATGTTTGCCCCATTATCAAAACCTTGTCCCCTAATATTTTATGTATCTAAATTTGATTTTTTCAAAATTTCTGTCACAAATGTATATATCCATTTCCCTGTATAGTCCAGTATTGGATTAAATGCAATAAAACTTTCCTTAACTTCAACCTTTTTTGAAGTTGTGTTAAGGACAACATACTTCAGAACAGGACTAATTTGCTCAGTATGACTAGTGTCTGGTGTACAATCTAATATTATTGAAAAATATCTTGAACTGCGAACCATTTGTAAAATACTATTTCTTACTTTAGACGACAATAATTCAATTATTTCATTCTGTATTTGCACGCCTGAATAATGAGTCATTTTAACAAATTCTGTTTGGGAGTTACACACTCGGCTAACGTGCTGTCTCATCACTGAATCAAAAGAGGCAATCATCTCAACAGCTTTTAGAAAATTTCCATTATCATGTTCGAAAAGTAATTTCGAAGAACCTTGAAATACCAAGCATTGTGTAGATAAATACTTAACAATCGCAATAATTCTTTCCAACACGTCGCGCCAATTTCGCGGCAAACTGATGTCTATCAAGGGTGGACCACGCTTAACCAATAATATCTCATTGGTGATTATTTCGGGCTACAAACCGGGGTCGGATGGAATTATATCGACGCTAGCCTTATTAAAGCCTGCATCGAAAGTGTCACTTGCAGCAGGTATTTCGGTAGTTGACGTTACCGAACTTCTTACACAAGCTGAATAACCTGAAGTGGATTGTTCAAGTGCTGTAGACGAGGATGGTGTCATCGCTTCATCGGGCTCTGCATCAGTAGAAGCTGTTTTGCTGCTACAACCGCCGCACCTTGTTGCAGGACCTGATGTTACCGTAGTCGCCTCTGTTGAAATTTCAGATGGTCCATTCACGGTTACTGATATTACGGATTTAGAATCTTGAGATTTTGTCGAGTCTTCGTGGAATCTTCATTGTTTTGCAAGAAGTACTTTAAAGATCCAGCCATTTTTTCCCTTTCTTGTGGTCTGAGTTTCTTTTGCTCGCGAAACTTCGCACCTGATGGTCTCTTTCTTTTATCCTGAAAAAACCAATAAATAATTATTACTTATGGGAATTAGGAATTAACTTCTAAAGTAATCACAACAATAAGCACCAAGTTTGCATATTGCATATTTAAGTAAAAAGCAATTTGTTCGAGCGCTTTCAGCTTAAACCCTTTCAAAAATAAAGGCAGAAAAAATAATAAACTAATTTGATCTTATAGCCCTTAAAAAACCTACAAAATGGTTTTTTAAAAAGATCGATAGCATAAAAACTAAGCGAGTTATGGATAAAAAACCAATTGTATAAAGTTATAGTTTTTAGAGTATAAATAAACCCATGTCCTGTTTTGAGTTAAAAATAAATGGTCAGTTTAGTCTTTTCAGTTAAATTTAGTTTTAAAATTTTTTAGTTAATAGTAAAAAGTAAGTATATTAGTACCTACTTAGATACTTTTTACCGAATTATAAGTATAGAACACCTTATGTACTCAATTATTTTTTGAAAAAGAAGAAAAAACAAGCAATAAATAATATACTATATTTTAGCAAAAAACTATAACTTAGTAATACTAATTATAACTTAGAACATAAATGAAAAACTCATAACTGACTTTTGAGCCCGACCCAGGATTCGAACCCGGGACCTCATGATCAGCAGTCGCACTACTACAACCACTAGACCAACGAGGCAGTATTATACTTAATAAGATATTGTGGTTGGGTGATAATATTGAATTAGCCTTTTATAGTGTAAATTATAATATTTGTCGAAATTTTAATTATGGATTCGAACCTTACATGCTAATGGTGCTTCATTTTTTTATTTGCATTTACTTCAAAGAAAATACACGCAAAAAGCTTCATCGTGCGTAAAAAACACAACAAATATATGTATAACTAATACGAAAAATTATACCCAAAACAAACAAATAATACTAGCTATAAATAACCTAATAAGTAATATTATTATCGACTAATATGACGTGAGTTGCGCTGGTCGACGCTCTAACGACACGGGCTTCGCGTCGAAGAGCTCAGGGCTCACTGACTTCAGCAAGCCCGTGAGCAGTGAATATGCCCAGATTTTGAAATAATTTCTTAATAAAATCAAATTTGGTCTTTTGAAAAAAAATTTACTATATAGAAATGTTTATTAATAAATTGCCTATCCATTGGTGTAAATCGCAAAATAAAATAATACTTAATTTACGAGGAGATGCATGTTATCAATAATAATTTCACATTTATGTGGTTTCGTTGTAAGGAGATTATATTAATATTTATTCGTTTAAAAAAAATTGGATATAGCTTTTATGGAATCAAGATTATGTAGAAATATAATGTGTTTTTTATTTATTGATATATCTTTTAAATAAAAAGTAGATAGCTCCTAAAATCCACACAAATAACGACTAGCGCGACATTTTGCTCAACCTGCGCCTTAAACTCGTACAGGGTCTTTGACTATGTTTACGTGCTTCCTAGAGCCTTTATTGTCAGATAGAAAAAAAATGTTTTATGCAGAATTTGTGGGTTTTTTCCTATATTATCTATTGAAGTTATCAGATAAAAACAGGAAACAGGAATTGGAAATAGATAGGATTCCTATAAATGGTTAATGTTGATAGTATAAAGTAAGGTAGGGAATACTTACCATTTTATAAAAAATCAAACCGTTGAAATTGCAGTCAGCAGGTATTCAGCACTTATTTTTTTTTTTGAAGAAAAAAAAAGTAGTGAAAAAATATTATACAACACAACACTTGACAAAATAAAAATAATTTTAAATGTAAAAATTAATAGGATTACTTGTTTTTATGCACTTGTTGCACAGTCCACTGAACTAACCGGTTTAAAAACGCTCCGGGCATTGTTCATGTCTGAGCAGGAAAAATCAAGAAACTACCGCCTGACATGTTCTCGCAACATAGGAATCGGCAGTAACTGGTTGATATACTAATAAAATTTCGTGTGTATTTATACCTAATCCTATTTAATTTCTCACCTTTTATTTTAAAATTAATTTTTTTTTGGAAATTTTGCAATTTTTGACGCTGGGTTTTGACGCCCCTAAAGGATGGCGCCCGTGTGCATTGCACACTTTGCACATATGGTAGTGGGAGCCCTGGGTGCGGTATACAAAGGATGGTGCGACATTGTTATGTTATGAGTCATTTGTTTTTCATTATTACCCCCGCCTAATACCTGCAAATTAGTGCAATGATAATTTAGTACATATATCGAAGAGAAATTTGTTTTGGCGCATTCGCCCTCTGAATTTCTTTAGTGACACAATGGCTTCTCCTTTATTTTGTACTAAAACGGCAGAATTTATTCAAACGAGAGCGAAATACTCCGATGATTTATGACCCAAACCGCACGGACAAAATAATTCTAGTATATAGGAAAATTAATCTTAATATATATAGAAATGTAACTGTTTGATTTGACATTTGAACCTATTTGTTTTGACAATGTCGTTAATAGACATACATATTACGAAAGCAGAAAGAAGAGACAACCGTCATGAAAATTTTATCCCATTTCGTTCATGTAATGTTTACTATGGAAGTTGCACCAGCCTGACTATAACGTCGATTTTACTTCAAATAATTAGAATTGGATACTCTTAGCAAATTAAAAAAACTGCACCTTGCTTGAACATAATTGCACCATCGTTAAAATGCATTAAATGCAATGATAAGCACAAAAAGTTGTTAAAACCAAATTTTTTAAGTGTCGAATGCACTCAATCGACACTTAACAAATATGGTTTTAGTATAATGGATTTTTTTTTAATAAAAATACTAGTAATACTATTAAACGTTACTAATATTCCCTTAAACCACTTCTGGTAAGCTTAAAATGCTTGTGTTAGAAGTGGTTCAAGACAGTAGTCGAATGGCGGACTCGAACCCATGACCTTTCGAGTTCGCGGTCCGCGCCCTGCCATTAGGCTACTGACGTATAATGCATTAGTTTAATTATATTAGTATAATTAAAATGCGTCAACCAATATTATACATACATATATATTCCGAATTCATAGGCTAGGGTAGGGCGGGTTTATACGCCAGTATATTCAAAGTCTATGGGTACTCCAGTATATTCTAAGTCTATGGGTACTACAGTATATTCTAAGTCTACGGTCCTGGCTCATAAAACAGCCTCTGTGGGTCAATTACTATAATTATTATATTTTTGATTATTTTGGGGGTCTTTGACGAGAACTACATCGGCGTAGCGGCGGACTGCGGTTCTTGTATTAATTAATGTGTAAATAATAGTTTGAAGTGGATTTTAATATGTAAAAGTCGTTTCATTTTGTGTATTAAATGTCTGCGCATGTGAATTACTAGTGGAAACGGTGAAACAAGTGCATCGATCGTTATGTGAATATCAATATAAGGTGTATACTCGTATCTGCTTAGGCGCCTTGAGTTACCATTACAAATTGTCTGCCGGCTCAAGTTGCCGTCAAAATCTCCCAAAAACTACGCAATGTGATGCATCAACATATTGTGAAGCAGTGTACTATAAAGGATTATTATTACTTGATACAAGCGTAAACATTTTATTAGTCTGGGCTTGATAATGAAAATCTATAAAGACGAAGATCCCGAATGAAGACATGGCATAAAAGACAAGAATCCAAGCTAAAAATCTTAATATAAATAAAAAAAACTCTATGATTTTGTCTTGTGACTTTCATTTTGAGCATAGATTTCGAATTCGAATCTGTGGGACACAGACTAACATGGCGATGCTTACGCATCTGTACAGGAGATAGAAGTATTTCAATCTATGTCAATTTTTCTTGAATTTTTAATATTTTGATTCTAGTTTATGTTTGAAACCTTTATAGGCAGTAAAGATATGGCTGGAAATGACGATAATAAACCTGAAAGTAAGGAAACAGGTATTGATGAAAATGTACGCAATGATGATGACAGTGAAAATATTCGAGAAGGTGAAATTATTTTGTTCTCAGTAGGTTCACATATTTGTGATCTGATAAATAAATATATGTAATGTTAATGTTTCAGAATACGAAACTTTGGACTCCAAATTGGACGAACTAAATTTAGCTCTTGACTTCTTAGAGAAGAAAAATGACGATATTCATCAAAAACTTAAAGAACTTTTACAGTCTAATATAGACATTCGTCAACAATTAAAAAATGAAAATTGTCAAGCTAATGACAATGAATGAAAAACAAAATTTAAAAAGAAATACATACTACATTACCATTATTTTAAGCAATATTAGCTTGCTAAATACTTTGCAAATAGTCCGTGTAATTTATGTAAATGTAACTCTTATTGGAAAGATAGTAATTTCTTCATTATTTGTTTTCTGTAAGTCATGCTAAAATTGTTGAAATAAAAAATTCTTCATATCTGTTTATTTTTATCTAACTCTATTAATTTATTACTAGATAATTGTTGGTTTGAAAATTAAATTAAATTCAACCTATTCTGTCAAATGAAACAGATGCAGGTGTATATTTATTTTTAATTTATTTCATATCTATAATTTGTATTGCTACAGACAAAACCACTGGTGATTCCTGCATTTAATGGTGACCTTTTTTTACAAAACGTAATCCACAATATCCACAAGCATGGTTTCCAGGTTTATCCTGAAAGCAAAATTAAAGGAGGACTATAATAGAAAAACCAATGAAAAGGTGAAAGTTATCATAATTTTTAAATATGTGATTCATTACGGCACCAAGCATAGGCAATATGAGAAGGCTCAAGGTTGCTCGATGAGCTTTGGGAGTACATTACACTATAATGAACCCTCATTATAATGTAATGCATCCCCAAAGAATGAGGGTATCCACAGTAGAACCAGGACCACCAACACAGCCCAATAATTCATTAAGCTGAAGTGGCTAAGGCTTAGCCATATATATATTGAACAACCAACAACAGATGGGAAAGAAAGTTACTTTAGTGGCAGCTTCATACTGGTAATTAAAAGTGTGTTGTCCCACTCACAATGAATGCAGGTGCCTCCGGTTCTTGCTTTGAAGCATTCATTGTGGGAGGCCTTTGTTTAGCAGTGGAAGTGTATCATGCGCTGGGCTGTAATAATGATGATGCACCAATACTGCTTAGACAGCATACAATTATCACAGACATAATATAATATGTTACAGTACATATACTGCAAATTAATGCAAAGAAAGTTTTTGTTTACTGGCATTTTTGGAAATTTTAACTAAAAAAATACATTCACTGTGCATGCACCATATATGGGGCATTTGGAGTTACTTCCTATATTGCACACCTAGATCTAAAGAGAGCTAACTCAAAAATTTATATTTTTGAGTTATGCACACCATGGAATTCCTTAAGTCACTACCTAGCGACCAATAAAACAGATTCAAAAATAGCTCTACAACTTAAAGCTAGGTGACAGTAGAAGTCTCTTTAGTTGAATGAGCAAGGCCCACTCATTTCCCATAAAAACGGGGACATTGCTAGTTGCAGTCAAAGCAGTCAATAATTTAAGCAGAACGCACGTGCCCTTCATAAACAAATTAGAGTTATTTTGATTTAATTCCATGTTGTTCAGTTAAATCAGGATACTATATTAAGATTATTTTGAGTTGTCACCATTTTGATGGTGAGTGCTGAGTAACTTAAAGCTACATTTTGTGTTGCACCAGTGTTGTTAGTAAAGTGAGCAAAGTTTTTGTTTTCATTTAGAATTGTTACCGTGTTATTGAAAAATGTTTGTATTTGTAGTTGCCTCTATTTTGTTGAGTAATTTTTTAAACTCTTATATTTCTTTAAAAAACAAATGAAATTTAACTTTTTTGCTAGTGGTGAATAAGTCTTTTCATCTTAATGAATATATTATTATCATATTGGCAATTACACAGCTTGTTGTGTTTTTGTTGAACAGTTTTTAAGTTAGAGCTGTTTAAATGGGCTACAGTACACCGCATCAAGTTCATGAGATCGAAGCGTTAAACCAATTGCTTATTAAATCGATGTGGCGTACTGGATCTGATGACACAAGATTTCTATAACATCTATCTTCTATCTGCATTTAAAAAGCATTGATCAATACAGAAAACTCCTGCAGTGCACAGAAATACGGTAATCAGTTTTTCGCCTTTTCTGAAAAAACTGTTTTTTTGAGTTAACTCTGTTTATATCTATGTGTGCGATATGTGCATGTACATACATACATACATACATACATACTACAGACTTTTATGACATGTAAAACATCATCTGAAATCATTTATAACTTTGTAAATCAACACTGAATTTATAACCGAAATTGACATCAGATCTTGCAATTTTTGTATTAAAAGCATGTCCTGTGTACAGGAGAATTAGGATCTGCTCACTCTTTCACTACATCAATCACCAATTTGCCAAAGTTGTAATCTAAAATAAATTATTTTAGCAGTATTTACTGTGTAAAAAGCTCGTTCATTCATTCAAAAGTTAATTATTTATATTTTAAAAGGATATTAAAAATGTTATGTTTGTTTTTTTACCTATTATAAAATATTTTGTACTTGCATGTAAGAGGTCAATTTTTAATTTATTAGCTGTACAGTGAATGTATTAAAAATGCCTATACAACATACATAAAACTTTGGCAACACATAGTTTATATGTGGTAAAGCTGTTCTATTTTAGTTGTAACATGTATGGGTTGTCTCGCCTGTGCAAGGATTCCACTCACACCTAAATCTTACTGAGTAAAATTTATTTTAAATATATGAATAACTAACTCAAAGGAAAGCCCCCTAATAAGTCAGTGAAAACAAATTAATCCCCTTGAAAAAATTCATCGACTCTTCTATAATTTCAACCTTTTAAAATTTTATATAATTTACCAAATTAATATAAACTCGTGGGTGGCCTTCTGGTCCACTTCCTCCATCACACCATACAACTCTTTCGGTTACTTCTTTTGGTGGTACTTCAGCAATTAAATTAATTGCCCAGTTGTGATTAACATGCTTTGGAGCATTCATGAACCTTGCAAGCCTGTAATCATCAGAGTCCCATTTCTGCAAATAAAAAATCACCAATGAAATTATTAGTTACAATTTAATGCTGATTTACCACATGCTGGGAGAAAAGCATTGTGATGGAACTTGCATGACTGCGAAATATTATTAGGTCATATGATGTACATACACTGAAACAGCACAGAGGACTCTATTACCCACTAAGAAATGAGAGAAAGTCTGTGCCTAGCAGTGGAATGTATATGGACTGTTAATAACTTAAATTCCAAGGGTTCTTTGTCAGCTAATTTTAAGTCAACCTTCCACAATAATAAGCCAAAATGGAACAGCAAGACTACTCGCATAGACAATACAAGGTAATAGAATCAAGTTCTGAACCAATTGAATTATTTTTTTTAATAATAATCATTTACTTCATACCACATTAAATTTACAATATCGATTTTTGACAAAAAATAAGTTCAAGTTTGTACTTAAATTAGGTGACCAACCTTTATTTCAGGTCATCATATCTTACTTCCATGTGACAAAATACAAAAAAGTAATTTGTGTTAGTGTGTGCATGTGTGTGTGTATGAAATGTGAAGCTTGTGAGATTATTGCCCAGGCTAAAAGGGTCACTGTGTGACATAAAATTCTTGAAACTTGAGGAAATGACAATCCTGAAGAACCTCAATAGTGACTCCTGAACCTGGCATTGTCTAGTACAGTTTTCTAATGATGAGTTTTAATAAATTTAATGATTAAAATTTGTATTATTATTTAATTATTTAGTTAATGACATTTTATTTACATTCCAGCATTTCTAATAATATTGGAATATTTCTTTCCCATACTGGCCCTTATGATAAGTTAGGTAGATATCTACTCGGTAACAAATCCCAGTAATGTTACTTGTAAGTTACAACATTCAAATAATGTTCTTTCTGCGGTACTACTGCAAAAAAAGACAAAAAGGAGATACTGGGTGAAGAAGCCGCTCTTTATACACTTCTATCACCCATGTCCAAACTTCACGCTCTTTATTGTTGTTCATAGTAACCTCTGTACCCACACGTGTGCTCCGCACGAAAGATGCAAACAAACTGACTGAAATTGCCCCAATTGTGCTACATACGCGACATCGGCAGGGCCGATCTAGGGAGCAAGGAAGGTCTTGCGCTCCTGCCACCCTGCCGCAGGGCTGACTTAGAAAATTGCCCCTGCTTGCCTACACACATCACAATTACGGGTTATCCCCACTCCTACACCCTAGATTGCCCCTGCGGTAGGCAAGTCAGTTGCCGCCCGATGACAACTCCATCACTGGGGTGAATTAATAGAGTCCTAAGAAAATATGATTGTCTTGGCCGATGAAAAAAATTTAATCTCCACCGACTACATATGCAAGGGAATAACATGGTCCTAAGTTATAACCCCATACAAAAATGTTATGTACCATTGTATGAAAAATTTGAATAGAATAGAATAATTTTTATTCAATAATGATTACATGTAATTATTATTGAAAGTCATTTTTCACTTTCACCACTGGGTGGGAAAAAATCTCTGAAAGAACCAGCAAGAAACCCAGCATGAATTTTTTTTAAAAGCATAACTTACAATATTTATAAAATTGTTATGAAAACATTTAGAAACAGCATAGTAGTGATCATCTCATTCCCAGGGGTTATTAAACAATTTAACCCTTACTAAACAATTTTTGCTGAATAAATATTTTAAACTTTTTGATAGATAAGGTCTGCATAATTTGTGGGACTTTGTTTTAAAAGTGTATACATTGCCCCATGAAGGCTGGCTCTTTGGTGTCTAGAAACTGGTATAATTGTATACTTTGTTTATGGAATGAGCTATCTCAAAAAATAGTTGACGCTTCTTCAGTAAACATTTAACTGGACAAGTGGTATAAAGAATTGTAAAAAAAACCATGGTCACATTCTAGTTTTACAAAGTGACACTTTCTATGTGGAAATATTCTATTGTTTTAAATTCAGTGATTATATATTCAAGTTTTAAGCAGTCATGAATAAAAGGGACTATGCTCTTGTAACCAGTTACTTTGAACAACAAATAGTGTATAAGTATAACAAGCACATGTGAATCCATCACAGCATTTTATCCCATGGGTATCATAAAAGATGACTATGGGAAGATAACTAATATCAAAAAGATCTCACAGCTTCAGAGAGAAAAATATACCGAAACGTAATGGCAGAGTATCTGGTACTGATTTTGGTTTGTAATTGTATGTCTATGTCTATGTTGCCTTGGGGTAATTTAATTTTGTTACCCCAAGGCGACATAGGTAAGCAAACCAGGAGATGAGCTACAAGGTCTTCCCAATAACAGCTGAAAGATAAATAAACTGCAGTTGCCCACACCTCTGCCAAGCATGATAACTGTAGCAAATATCCTTTAGTAAATATAAATATGAGGCAATCTGTAGGTAGGTAGGCTTATGTTCCGCAGTGGACTTTTGATAGGCGGTAACTGTAACAGTTTTTGACAAGAAGAATTAGTGGTGGGCTACTAGTGAATTAAAGACGCGGTAATGAATTACTAGTTAGTCATTAGTAGCCAGAGGTATGCAACATAGCATTGTGGGAGAGCAGCCTAAAGGTCACTTGAAATTAGAGGATTCTGCCTTTTAATAAGTATACACTTTTAATTTATACAAAATAGAAGTATCGATATCTAATTAAGAAGTTTGATTACAAATTATTCAATATGAATTGGGAATCACATTTTATTAACAATGTGATTATATAACAAAGATAAATTAAAATAATGAAAACATTCAATGTCTATTTATATTCCTAATATTTAAGCTAATACTAAGTATTTAATTAAAAAAATTAAACATATACTTGTCCTGTATGAGTACATATATCTTCTTTTTTATTCGTTAAGCTTCGACTGCCAAACGGGATTACATTACGTAGAGCAAAGTGTCTTAAAAGCAGAGCAGAACGGTTACTTGACATATTTTAATGCTTCTAAAATATAGCTAAACTCAAAAAATATACACAACCATTACAGCTACGTTATGTCACAAATTTTAAAGATGATAGATGTAGGTGTAGGTATATGATGGTTGCATAGAGATATAAATATACATAGAGATTAGAGATATACTTCTACGTCAGTGGATGATTTTGTGACGGACTTGGACCATAGACATAGTATCTTCCTCTATCTACGACTTGGACGGACTCTTGCTAAATTTTTTTACATATTTATTTATCTATGCTTTGACTTATTAGTTGTTGTTGTTTTTATTATTCGCTCGAACGAGCAGGCAAAGGAACTATGCCATACAGCCTTGTCTTTTTTATTTTGAGTATATAGAATTTCACTGCTTCACAATATGTTGATGCATCACATTGTGCAGCCCTTGGGAGATTTCGACGGCAACTTGAGCCAGCAGACAGTTTGCGATGGTATCTAAAGGCGCCTATGCAAACTAACAGCTTATCTTGAGAATCCATCACCATCAGCGCACTTGTTTCACCGTTTCCACACAAAAGTTCACATGCGTAGACAGTTAATACAATACAGATAAAATCGCACCACTTTTACATGTCAAATTCCACTTCAAACTATTATGAAACTATATATATCCTGCCAAAACTCTTTGACTTATTAGTTTGTGACAGAATGGCACCTGACAAGGGTATGCAATTATTGAAACTTTTCGATGATTGATAATCCGATTTTTATCGTGTATTTTTTCGACAAAAACCGAGAATTACCGATTTACATAAGAAAAACACCTGTCTCTTAGAATTTCTTTCTTTGTGTATTCTACTCTACAAGAAAATTTAACGTTTTTATAATTCAATGAAATACCTTATTTAATTAAAAATCTGTATTTATTTCCATAAATACTACAAATCAATATGGAAAAAAACAAGTCTTAATCATAATAGTTATGATATCTACTATTAAACAACGAAACAATTAAAATCTTTTTCTCACAAACAAAAATAAAATAAATAATAAAAAAAATAAAAAACCGACTGCAAAAAAGACAATTTAAAAGTAATGCACTAAAACGATCTAACCAAGGTTGGGAATAGAATACATCATCATCATCATCATCATTACAGCCTTTCATAAGTCCACTGCTGAACATAGGCCTCCCCCATTAATTAACCCATTAATTTTCGTTCGGTTTATAATTTGCAATTCGGTCCCGTCTGCTACTAAGCTTAATTTGGGTATTTAACTTAGGCTTTCAGCTCATAGTATAGTTTGTTAAACCGAAGTAGAGTTTACTTTGTTAATACTTTATTTCAATTATGTATTCTATTCTCAATCTTGGTTCGGTCGTTTTAGTGCATTACTTTTAATTTTTTTAATTATTTATTTTATTTTAGACTTTTTAGTGTCCCGACACACTTTAATATGAACTAAATTTCATATGATAGCACGATGTCCGACACAAACATGGCCCATTTTACGTTTTTACCACTTTTTCAAAAACTTTAAACCAATTTGTATTGTCTGCTATCTTCTCTAATCACTGTAGTGTAACACAGGCTCGGCACGCACTTAACCAAACACGTCCACTCTCGCCCGAGGCTCTCGTGTGACTGACGCGGTGCGCTCGAGATAGTGACTTATATATAAATGTATGTTTGTGTATTTGTGCATGGTAAATTATTAGTAAATAAAACAAATAATATTTACTGTATACTATATATATGCAAACACTACATCTCTTTCTTATCAAGATTTTTTTCTTTTTTTTTTATTATAACTCATAACAATCACAAAGCAGCTTGTATTGTTTGTATTAATTATTACATATTTTAGTCTTCTTTATCCTGTTCCAGATTTTGTTCTTTTTCATTCTGATCGGGTGGAATAGCCGTCCAATCGCCTCCTACTTTCTTCAAATGTATCACATTTCTCCTAAACCTTTGGTTCGTTTCACTATTGCGTACTGTGCAGTCACCGTCTCGTGCACTCTCTACGACGTGTGGCGTCGGTTTAAAATTTGTTGTAAGATTATTCGATTTTTTTCACTGCTTTTACGTAAACCTTATCTCCTTGTATTATATCTGAGTGAGTTGCTCTGCGTTTCCTATCTACATACTCTTTTCCTTTTTCTTTTTGTATTTTGTCTCTATCCCTGGTATCTGAATCTAAATGATTGTCTGTAATTTATTTCACCTATTGATGGAATTTTATCCCTAGTTTTTCACTGCGCCCTCTTTTCCCCTGCGCCCTCTTTTCCCAAAAGAGGGTCGCTTTACGATACGGCATGTGAAGCTTTCAACAGCTGGTTGCCAGTCCCCAAAGGCAGTTTTTAGAGGGTATCACTTAGGTTCCCCCTTGTAGGTAGTGAGTCCCTCATAACCACGATGGACCGGCCATCGTGGTATGCGTAATGCATTTTCTGCCTCCCTTCGGGGTAGCCCTTTTCCAATTGCTTCGGGCGCAAAAAAAAAAAAAAAAAAAAAACCTAGTTTTTCGTTGAAAAAAACAGTTCAGAGAGTAACCTCCCGGTAACTGTAAGGAGGGGTGCTGTTATACATTAGAAGATACTCCCACAAACATTCTTTTAAATCCTTCCTCTCGATCTGGCTGATACGAAGACGTTTCAAAATATCTCTGTTTTGTCTTTCAACTTCGCCGATCATTTGAGGCCAATATGGTACAGTACTAAATAACTTAATGTTACATTCTTTGAAGAAAGATCGAAACTCTTTACTAACGAACTGCTTGCCATTGTCTGCGGTGATAGAAATAGGATAACCAAGTCTACTGAACAATGGTTTTACCATTTTAATAATCTGTAAGCTTGTGATGTTTTTGTAATTTTTACTTCTTCGTATCGACTATAATAGTCAACCACTACTAAAAGATACTCGTTACTTGGTAATGGTCCCATTAGATCCATTGTGACATCTATCCATGGAGCTGCAGGCAACTCTCGTCTCTTCATTGGTGCAGGTGGGTTTGGCAAACCCACTAACGTACAACCTTTACAGGCCTTTACTAATTGTTCTACGTCTTTATCGATACGGGGCCACCATACCTTTGATCTCAAGCGTCCCTTCATTGCTACGATACCTGGATGACCCTCGTATGCAGCATCTAATACACTCTTGCAGAGTTGCTGTGGTATTACAATTTTATTTCCTCGAAGTAGAATACTATCTGGAAACAACTCGTTTTCAAAAAATTTGTAACTCTTAATCGAATCGTCCCAGTCGTTCTGATAGACACCTTTTTTCACTTTGTAAATTTCTTGGTCTTTTTCTGAATATGCTACAATGGTACTCATTTGTATAGCAACTGGTCTAGAATTTTCCACTATTTGGTACACATGCTGGTCTTTTCCTTTTGGTGAGTTATCAGGATAGTTACATAATCGTGACAGGGGATCAGCTATATTTGTTTTTCCTGGCTTGTATACAACCTTGAATGAATAAGACTGTAGCCTCAGTACCTATTGTTCAATCCTCGCACATGGTTTTGACTTAGACCCGAACAATATCTCTAGCGGCTTGTGGTCAGTGACTTAATAAAAAGGCTTTCCAAATAAACAAAAATATTAAATGTTTGACCCCCCAAACTAATGCTAGTGCCTCTTTTTCCGTTTGGCTATACCTGCGCTCGCAGTCTGTCAAAGTTTGATTACCATAGGCAATAATTCTAGGGCCATTTGTATAATTTTGTACAAGGACAGCACCAAGTCCGACAGGGCTAGCATCTGTTATCACCTGTCTTGCATCTCCGACGTCATAATACCCTAAAATCTGTATTTCCGTGAGCATCCGTTTGAGTTTTTGGAATGCTTTATCTTGTTCCCCAGACCATTGTTTTTCCAAGCTCTTCCTTTTGCTCATCTTCTGTCTTAGCAGGTGCTTCAGAAGTTCTGTCATGGCGGCCAAGTTAGGTATCTATTTGTTTATGTAGTTTAAGAGTCCTAAAAAACTTTGGAGTTTTTCTATGGTCTTTGGGACCCTAAATTTCATAATGCTCTCAACGTACTTGTTGAAGGGTTTACTCCTTCATGTGTAAGCCTGTGTCCCAGAAAATTCACATCCTGCGTTTTATATATACATTTATAGCTATTCAGCACGGCGTTGTTTTTACTAAGTACCTGTAGAACTTTCTTTAGTCATGCGTCATGTTCTTTTTCACTGTTCCCGAATACCAGGATATCATCAATAAAATTGACGACCCCTTCACAGTTTATCAGCATCCTTTCAATGATCTTCTGAAAAATCTCGGAAGCGCAGGTAATTCCAAGCATTATTCTTTTATACCTATATAATCTTTTGGGGGTTATAAAAGTCGTTGTGTCTGGATTCAGAGTGAATTTCCACTTGATGGAAGGCATTTTTTATGTCTAATTTGTTAAAATATTTAGCTTTCTTCATTTTAGGCAAAAATGGTCCATAGTAGGTAGGGGGTGATTTTCTTGCAATATAGCGGCGTTCGTACATCTCATATCTACGCACAAACGTAATTCTTTCATGATTGCAACATTGGTGAAACCCATTTAGACGGGCCTTGCACTTCTTCAATTATATCACTGTTTAGTGATTCCTTAATTTTGATTGCAACCTTCTCTTTAATGGGGATCGGTACTCTCCACTTGATTTATCCCTATACCAAGTTTTAAGACACCCAGACAGACTGCTTTGTTCTTACCCAACGGGTCTCTATTACCCCCCGAAATCACGTAAATGGTTGTATGTTCGTTTCGTCCATCGAATTCGAGTATTGTTTCAAATGAACCCTCTATTGCCAAAGGAGAGTTACTACCATATGCTAATAATGTCTTGTCTGGTCTTTACATTTGATTAAAAGCATATAGTTTTTTGCTTTTTTAACTCTTTCCACGTTTTGTAAGATATAAGGTTCTTGCGCAATTTCGAATTACACTTTTCCGCAATTTGATCTATGAGATGATCATCTTGCTTTTTAAATGCACACTTTTCGGCCTGTTGACGCAATCTTATCA